CTAAAACATTCTATTTTCATATAAGACTTTAAAAACCTTAAAATAGATAATAATACATTAATTAGATGAAAATCACAATTAAAATACTAATTATTTAATAAATATGCATGATAAAGTGTGATTATAATACCATAACTACTAAGCACACGTTCACAATTAAATTAAAATAGCTGAAAGGTTTCATACATAATAATAAATTATCAATACCAAAAGGAGTTTCTAGGATGTTGGAAGGTATTTTGAACACATTCTTAGCTTAAAAAATATTGACACCAAGACATGGAGTTTTATTCAGAAATGGAAATTTCTGTGAAAATATTGATATTTACGAAAATATCCGTAGAAATTTCAAGATATTATGAGAAAAAAATACTACACCTTTATTTCTATATCAGTACTTCTAAAATACGGAAATTTCCGCAAAAATATCAGTAAAAATGTAAATATTTTCATCCTTGGTTACATACAAAATATACTTCACATGGGTTAAATCAAGGTAATTACTTCAGATTTTCATACTTAAATCCGACTTAACCATTCCAAAGTGAACTTTTCAGAAATCAAGTCATCACCACAATTATTTTGAAAAATTACAATTAAACCCAAAAACCAATCCCATCAAACTATAGAACATAGTTCCAAATTATAAACCACTTTTGATAATAAAATGTCCAATAAAAATCATAGGAAGAAAATTCCTAACATTTCCTTGCTCGGAGGTGTGCTTTCTCTGGAAGATAATTTAGTTCAAGTTACATTTTTTTCCTAGCATATAATAAGAAAACAATTTTTCAATTGGATAATTAATATATGTGTTAGATATGTGTTTTTTTCAATTTAATAAATTTTTTGGTTTCAACATGTTCAAATATTCAAGCAGAATAATGATATAGAAAATAAAAGACACGCGAGATTAATATCGTGGTTCGGTAACCACTTATATTTACGGGGTCACGCTCAGACATTGAATCATCCACTAATTTTCAATGATTACAAACACTAATCGGACTTATAAAAATAAAGACTCCCTCTTTGAAATTTGCCATTGCCGTGTTGAATCAACGAGATGGCCTGATTCAGTAAGCACTACTTGTCTTCAAAACTGTACGGAGAAATCCCTTCATCTGGCAGGTCGTTTCAAATTATTCTCATGAAGAACGATAAATTGTTGAACTCCCTTCAACACTACAAACATCTTCTCTCAAAAAATAATAATGAGAACTTCTCAAATATTATGCGTGAAATCCAGGAAGCCAACATAATGAATGGTTCTGATTTCTTACGCAGACTAGTCCATGAGGTGTTTTTTTTTTTTTTTAAACAAGCGGCAATAATGTTAATTTGGATATAAGAAATGGGTGGAGAAAAATTAGAACAATTACAATATATATTATCACTTTCTATTACATGACATGATCTGATGAATCCAGCCAACGTTAAATAGACGCATTATATTTTAGTTGGGTCATGATGTCGATCGATAACGCTGGTTAATTAACTAGTAACTAAAGTAGTCCCTAAATGAAAATTAAGAAGTCTTGGTCTTTGGTCTTTTATAGTCGATGTTGATAAAGACCCAGCACTGAGTATAGGGACAAGTAGTGTGAATGATACAGAAAGGACAAAAACAGAAATGGGAAAGTATATTTGGAGTTACTTGATATTACAAAGACTTAAAATGGTCTTCGTCTATCAATTTCTCGAGATAAATTAAGTAAAATAGCTGAAAGTCAACATAATACATATATCATACATATATGGTTTCATACATAATGATAAATTGTCAATACTGAAAGGAATTTTTAGGAGGTTGGAAGGTATTTTGAACACATTCTTCGCTTAGAAAATATTAATACTAACACATGGAGTTTGAATAGGTACTTATATCATACATGGAGTTTGAATACTTCAGATTTTCATGCTTAAATCCGACTTAACCATTCCAAAGTGAACTTTTCAGAAATCAAGTCATCACCACAATTATTTTGAAAAATTACAATTAAACCCAAAAACCAATCCCATCAAAATATAGAACATAGTTCCAAATTATAAACCACTTTAGATAATAAAATGTTCATTAAAAAACATAGGAAGAAAATTCCTAACATTTCCTTGCATGGAGGTATGCTTTCTCTGGAAGATCATTTAGTCCAAGTTGCATTTTTTTCCTAGCATATAATAACAATATAATTTTTCAACTGCATGATTAATATATGTGTTAGATCTGCGTTTTTTTCAATTTAATAAACTTTTCGGTTTCAACATGTTCAAATATTGAAGAAAAATAATGATATAGAAAATAAAAGACACGCGAGATTAGTATCGTGGTTCGGTAACCACCTATATCTACGGGACCACGCCTAGACTGAATCATCCACTAATTCTCAATGATTACAAATACTAATCAGACTTATAAAAATAAAGACTCCCTCTTTGAAATTTGCCATTGCCGTGTTGAATCAAC